AAACTCATTAACTGAGTAGAAACAATGCGTAACAAGAAATGATTTTATTTTCTGTTTAAAATCATGAGTATTCAAGGACTTTAAACTAGTTGGCACAATATTATATAAATGGATATCTAAAGAATTTTTCTTTGATTTAATTAGTCTATAACGTGGAATCATAAAATTGTCCGCTGATCTCGTCCCATAACTAAGACATTGAGAGTTGTTTCTGAGAATGAATTTCTAGGAGAGTGACACATATGTAAAGACATGGTAACGGTAGAATTTTAAGTTTTTTAAAAAGCGGTCGACAGTGTTCAGTATAGCTAGAATTAGTCATTAACCGTACAGCTTTCTTTTGCAACTTAAATATTTTAACGTACGTTGTGCTGTTTCCTCAAAGGATTATAGCATAAGTCAAATGAGAGTGAAAAAGTGAATAATAACACATCATCAGACATTCGTCACTCAAAAAGTGCTCCAATCTTCGAATTACAAACAAGGTACTAGATAGTTTAGTACTTCTCAGTTTGTCAATTTGGGCATTCCACGTAAGGGAATCATCAAGAATCACACCGAGTACCTTTGCAGATTTGCTTTCCGTTATTCCGTTAAAAAGGTCGCAAAGTTCCATTAAAAAAACTAAACTTTTTATAACAAAAATTTTGAGCCCAGTGCGATTGATAAACAAATGTATTAGTTATTGCAAAAAAAACGGCTAAAAATCGCATTTTTAAAATATTCTGTCTTTAAAAAAAAGATTTTTTTATAAAACTTTCAGAATATGTAGTCCTTGGCAAATAGAATAAGCGCATTTTTGTAAAATTGCAAAATATTTTATAGTTTTTGCAAAATTTGAGTTTTTCGAAAAAATACATTTTTTTTCAAGTTTCAATAAATCACATGCATGACCCATCTTGCGCCTAAAATTTTCTTTTAAAGTTGTACTTTCCTGTGCAAATTGTGCACGTATTACAAAATAATTAGAAATATGCGAAAAATCTACCGAAACTTTGACTTCTTTTTTTGTGTTGAAAAATGTAGATCTTTTTCTTATCGTTGAAATTTAATCGGAATGGCATTATTGCCATTTAAAAACTGACAATTTTTCACGGATTTAAAAAAAAGTAAGAGTGTTTAGGATCTTTAATTGATCCAGTGTCTGAATTTTTCAATTAATTTCTATTACAGTTGATGAAGTTAAATGACGATTCCGACCACATTTTGGACGAAAATTGGGAACTGTTGCTGCCAAACCTTCATTATTTTTAAAATATTGCTAAACTATGAAACCCTGAACTGTCATCTGTCACAATGTCTTTTTTATTTGGTTGGCAACACATCACAGCACAAATGGCGCAAAATTCAAATCTTGTGTGAATTTTGGAACATCCGATATACGTATTTGCACTGCTGATTAATTATATCATAGTTAGCGACGCCTGAAAGAAATACACAAACACAGGACGCCATTTAACACAGTGGCGGCTCGTCGTATGAAGCAACTGAGCCCGGGCCTCACTGTAAAATTGGGGTCTCACACCGTATATTTTAATACCTACTGTTCTACTATTAACCTAAATAAACAGTTAGGAAAACTAATTTCCAATTACCTATTGCATTTATCAAAAATCAAAATAACATAAAATAATTGTTTAAATATTGAATACCTCTCCGCTCTCCTTTCTATCGGCACGGCATTGAATAGTGTTACTCCCCCACTAGTCCCCACCATAATGAGGCCAGAATTTCTTTGCTTGAAATTGCTTACAATATGCTACAATTCCCCCTCCACGTGAGGCGGTTAAAATAACGTGATTTACTGGGGAACTGAGGCCGGCTTAAAGCGGCTTGTACTTGTAGTTACTTGTTCTTATCTATGCTTGTAGTTTTGAGTTCGCGGTTAATGTACGCGCTGCATAATACGCGGGTAGTGTCTGATGTCAGTGTGAGGGATGGTACAAAAGCTTTAAGGATAAGGACAAGGCGGGTATTAATTTAAAGTAAATAAAAAACAACTTCCTTACAAACAAGACAAAGTAAGACTTTTAACTTAATGTTACGAGCCGCCACTGCACTAATTTAACACCATCCAAAAACTTGGTTATACCAAATTTTAATACGACACGTTTTTGAAGATGTGATCTAAAAGATCATCTTGCGCTGCCTATTTTAAAAGAGACCCTGTATGGTATGCTGGGAGCATCGATTCGGTGGTCTCAGAATTATTCAAACGAATATCATCGTGTTTACGGTTTGTTTAGGTAGAGTGGAGTGAATCCCAGAAAAGTATTTGCGAAAACAAGCCTTATAAAAGAATTAAATAGAACGTAATAATATAAAGTATCTTTTTGAGATTAAAACAATAAGCAAACGGAAGATAAAAAATAATGTTTACGACAAAATGTATTAATACGGTTGATTACTAGATAACATTATCTGGCACACTGTTAGACTAGCTGCATTTTTTAAATTAAGATAAGTGGTTGATCATAAAACAAGTGGCTACTAAAATTAACGTGTAAAACAATTAAATAATTTGACAATCTTTTTAAGCAATTATTTGATTGTTTTATCTGAAAGGTTATCCCAGCCTTACAATCTGTATTTTTAGGTTTAGAAAGGTATACCAGACTTGCAGCTATCACATATATCTTATCACAATATTAATGTTGCACGGGATGTTTTTAAAACCTAATGCTTCTTCAGGGTTACAGAGTGATATAAGATTTAATGTTCGAACAAGTCGGTTCATCGATTCAAGCTTGGTAGATTTGAATAAAATATAACATTAAACATGAATCTATAAATACAGGGTAGCCCATCGAAAATGTACCGCAAGGCATTACAGGGTAGTAAAGAACTTTTCGGCAAAATCCAAAAACAGGTCAAATTTGTTTCTGAGGGTGACAACTTTTGGCTCAAAAAGCATAGCAAAATCTTCAACCTCCTAAGTGGGGGTGCTATCCCCTAAATTTTTTTAAATGGGAATGGGGTCAAGTGGGGGGTCATTAGAAAGGGCTTTTAATTCTCTATACATCGATTCTTACTTTTTGAAAATCGATTCATTATTTTAGAAAATATGCAGCTTTGGAAATACGAACAATATTTTTGACGAGAAATGCGAAAATCGATTTAATTTTACTTCAAAAGTCTTTAGAATCAAAATTAACGGAAATATGATCGAAATAACATGATAGTCTCATTTTTTTAAGAAAAAATTAATAAACAAATCAGTGCCTTTGGCGACAGAACTAAAATTAAATCCATTTACAGATTTCTTCATTTATGTTCTAAGAATATGTTCTGGGTCTTAGACTCACTTACAAAGCATGATTTCGAAAAAACTTAATTTTTGTAAATGTTAATTTTTCAAATTTTCGAAAAAAATCGATTTTTACGCTGTAACTTAAAAATCAAAGGGTGTACGTATGTAAAAATACAAGAGTAAAAAAATTTAGCTTTATTTTTGCTGAAGATTTTGCTTTTTTTATTATTCCTCTAAAATTAATATTAATCCAGATATCACCATTTTAAGTTATCATATGAATGAGAGAACCACCCTTTTCGAGCCCTTTAAACCCTTCAAACTTGAAAATGAAGGGCTTAAAAAAGATCAACTCAACAGTTCACGTAGCCCTTACAATTCCCTGGAAAATGAGCCTTTGTGTGATTAAAAATCTTAAAAAATAAGAAAGTTACCGGCAAAAAAATAAACACATGTATAGGTGATAATTTTAAGAAAATATATATAAATATAGAAATATATAAGGGGTAATTTTTAAGAGTTGAAAAGTTGTAATCAATTCAAAATTATTTTATAGGAAGTGAATAAATGTTTATTTAATACGAATGCACATTTAAAATGTTTACTCTTTCAATAATATTTTTTTATTATATTTTCGAAAGAAGGGGTATTTTTCAAAGGTTGAAAAGTTGAAATCGATAAAAAAGATTTTTTAACCAAGAAATCAATTTTAATTTGATAAAAATGCATGATTAAAACGTTTTAAGTTGAAAAAAAAAAATTATATTATTTTCATCCAAAGGGGTGGTTTTTAAAGGTTTTTCCGGATTGAAAATTTGGGATACATTAAGTTTCATGTTAGATAGCTCATGAAATTACTCATACTGCATAAATAAAAAAAGATTTGATTACATAAATTGCTTACATTTGCATTTTTTCTTTTTTTCCAATAAGGGGTAGTTTTCACCCCTTAAGAACAAAAAGCACACCTAGCGCATATATAAGTTTTGAAGTGGGGGGTAAGATGAGCCTAATTCTAAATTTTGAGAAAAATCGATGCAGTTATAAAAAATTCGGAGATATTACTATATTTTCAGCTACAGTAACTGGGCTATTATTAGTGCAACCTAAAATAATTCAAAGTTCACTATATACCTAGCAACATGTAAAAGGTAAAGAGATATTACCCATTAAATATTCTTTATCCAAAGCCCCACTCAAAAATTCTTCAATATGTCCTCTTTCCAGTACTGTACTGTATTTTTGCTTTGTATCCTCTCGATTCACTCTTCAATATTTTACAATATCTATATTTTTGTAAACCTTTATAGTAGCCTTCAACATCGAATATTACGACTACATAGATGAAATTGCATGTCATTACTCATTCATTCTTCATTTATTGTCATTACTCTCCGTTTTTCCTCCATTCGTTAAATTCGGCGATCATTTTTTCCTAATGTTCCCTGGATTTCGCTGGCAATAAATGGAAAATTGCTTCTTGAGCTTCTTTGAAAACAGCCACAAGAAAACAATTACTTTCCTGCATTTTTACCAAATTCAGATAGAACTCGAATTTCTGAGCGTATCATACGCGTTCAACGCGCGAACGCGCTTGTACGCCAACCCTTACCTTTCCGATCGGCCGCCTCTAACCAGCGGGCCGGCGTCTTCAAGTGTATTGGATAAATCCGGCCGACCTGACCTCCCGATAACCGGCAGATATCTAGTAATTGAGGATCACATATCCCGAGAATAAGCGGCAGCCAGTGCAACAATATGGTGGACACACCAAACGTCCGGAATCCTTAGAGAAATATGTCCTTTTACACCCCGGTGTGCGTGGCCTTGTTGGGAGTGAGTGCGCTTTTCGTTCAGTGTCTAGATTTGAGTGAGGAGTTCAAGAAGCATAGCAGTATGGTGGCGAGGGCGAATTTCCCCTGCAAGGTGCCGCAGCCCAGGGTGTTCTACCTGGAGGACCTGGTGAGCGCCACCGAATGGAACAACAGTTACCAGGGGATCTACGAGATAGACAATGTAAGAATTTGGTGTCCAAAAAAACTGGTAGCGTGAAGTGATAAGGAACGTGTCGAGTTGGTCTTTATAGTCCAGAAAAATAAGGAAAAAATGAGCGGACGTTTTTACTCCGCGATTTTTTTATACATGGTGTCTCAGAATAACGTGTACAACGGAAGACCTCATATGCGTGGACTCAAAATAGGTAGATTTAGGCTAATTCACTTATATCCGAAATCGCTACGTTTGGCCGCTAGATGGCCTCAAAGTTTGTGAAAACTTTTTGAATTTTGTAAATAACTCGAATACGTAGGTATTATTCGATTTTGATTATCTTTGGGGTGTGGACTTTTGCTTTCAATCTACAAATTTTGGTTTTATGCAGAGCGTTTTTTAAAACTTGCAACTCCTACAAAATTGATGTATGGTTAAAATATCCGTTCATAAATTTTTCCTCTTTCGGGCAAGTAGGCTCTGATTTTGTAGGTTGTCTGTAATTTCAGTTTGATCATTGTACCTGCCAATTCTGTTTTACTAGAAGCGGAATAATAAATTTTCCCAATGAACATGTGTATGCTCAAGAAAATCCACATTGATAGCATTATTATTGGCTCTGATATTCTACCCAATAGAATGAAAGGGGAAATTTATCTAGAATTTTTGCAAAACCCGAGTTATTGAAAGATGTGCCGTTATTACTCAGAGCTAACATGTGGTTTATGCATGATGGCGCTCCACCACATTTCACTGTCAATGTCCGGCAATATCTGAACCAAAGATTCCCTCGTCGGTGGATCGGTAGAGGGATAATGTTTCTGTTAACTGGCGCCTGTACGTTCACCAGACTTAACACTTTGCGACTATTATTTTTGGGGCACTCTGAAAACAACAGTGCATGCTTCCACATCTAACACTGAAGAAGAATTGTGGGGGCATATCCAAAATACGATAAATGTTTAAAAAATAGCCCTGCAAAGGGTGTCACTTAACTTTCTTCGCCGAATGAACCTTTGTTGTAGAAACAATGGTGGTCATTTTGAATAGTTTTTATAATAAGTTGTACTAAAATTAATAACATAAACTTTATTCCTTTTATCTCCATATTTTGTATTCTATTTGATTGTTTTTACGAATTATTTCAATAAAATTAGCAACGTTGTAAACAACTCGTAATTCGTCGTATGTATGAATATGGTAAACGTGTGATAACATGTGGTATATCTTATCGTAGTAAACACTCATTAGGAATTGGCAGGTTGTACAATGACTTAAAGATCAAACTGAAATTACAGTCAACTTACAAATCCAGTGACTACTAGCACTTTATTAAGTATTGTAATATGGGTCGCAAGATAACAGACATTTAAAAAATATTTTTTGTACCCAAACCGCTTATTTAATCAAAATTCTATAAGAGGCCCAAAAAGTATCACCTATCAAACAAAAAATAGTTGTCATTATTGGCCCAAAGAGGGAAAAGTTATGAACGGTTATTATCACCATACATCAATATTGTAGGAGTTGTGAGTTTTAAAAAACACTCTGTATAACATCAAAATTTGTAGATTGAAAACAAAAGTCCACACTTCAAAAATAATCAAAATCGATTACTACATATTCCAGTTATCTACAAAATTTAAAAAAAAAAATCACGAACTTTGAGGTCATCTCACGGCTAAGCGAAGCGATTTCGGATATAGGTGAATTAGCCTAAATCTGCATATTCTGAGTCCACGAATCTGTGGTCTTCCGTGGTACACGTTATTATGGGACACCCTGTATATTTATTATTTTTAACAGTTTTTTATGGACTTTCATATCTACGTTTCTTATGTAAAAGTGAAACTACTTCATAGCTGTCGCAAAAAAAATTTAAGAGAAAAGAGATGTTTTTGAAAAATATTAAAAACGCATAATTAATTTCGTTATATACCTACACCCTCGAAAACCTATGAAATAATACATTTCATGCTCATAAATATTTAAATCTCAGTAAACTAGGTATATAAGATTTTCCAAGAATTTTCCGCAATTTTCTTTTCTTTAATACACTTATTTTTTATTTAAAATTGAATTGACCATTATTTTGGATCCAAAACATTAATTTTCACATAATCATAATAACAAATCATATAACATACATCATAATATATCACATAATCATAAAAAATATATGGGAAAACTATTGGGAAAATCGAAATTATTCATAGAAGCAATTTTGTAGAAAATTTAATTTTGAACAACTTTTATTTGACTTTTTTCGAAGAAACGGATCCTCATTGAAATATTGGCAGTTTTTGGTCAAAAAACGCGAAAAATTATATATATGTATATCTATGTATATCTCAAAATGCCGTATGTTCCTGATGGCTGGGTGTGAGACATATGTTTTCTAACCTCAAAACGTACATTTTTCTATAAAAATCCCAGAGTAAAAAATTTCGCTTATTCCGTCTTTGTAGGTCTAACTTTCCTGGACTAATATAAAAAAGAATAGTTAACAAGGTATTACATTATACATATATCTCGGAAGAGATTTACTTTGATAAAAGTTGGTTTAATGAGACAATCAATAATTGAAGGAAACAATTTACTAGTATTGAAGGTTTAATAAATAAAAATAAACAGGTAGAATAGAGAAAAGATGGAAAATTTGATTGAAACTTAAAATAAAAACAGACAAACTTAATCTTATTCAAATATTTTTCAGATATACCTTGCCTTACTGGAACACAACATATTTTTACAAAATTTGTTCGGAATAGGGAGGTCTTCAAATTTCACAATAATAAAAGTTAAACGTAATATTTTATTTAAAGCAACAAAAACAAACAAAATATTTGTTGATGAGTAAACAACGACAAAAACAAAGTTCTCTAGAACTAAAATTAAAACTTTTAAAGTTTTTTTTAAACAAATTTCAATATTTTCTGTGGAATAAATATGTACTAATTAATTAATGTACAACAAATATCATGGCCTTCTTTGACGTGTTAACTGTATTTGGTACTGTTACATAATAGAACATTTTTCAATTTTGCCCAAAAAACCGTGGTTTCCAGCAAAATTTTTCAAGGGCAACAATTTGTTCAGTTGCCTTAGCTTTTTCATGCTTCAGGGTGTGCAAACTTACAATTTTCAAGGCACAAAACGAATTCGACATTTTTTTGAAAAAGTGGGTCCCATGCAATTAATTTTTTTGTCATCCTCTATAAATATGCATCATCAATAGCCAAAAACATGGACCAAATGTGGTATTGATATTTCAGCTGGTTTAGAAATTATTAAACAAAAAAAAATCGGTAAATTTTGCCCGTAATTCGTCAACCAAAGAAGGAGAATGGATTGGGCACTTCATTTCAATAATTTTTTTCTGTACTGTTGAACATTCTAAGTTTCTTTTAAAAACACAACTATTGATCAAAAGCATCCTCACAATTAAGTAATCTGTATACTATTAAGGTTAACCCTGACGACCCCAGAGTAGATAAGCTACTGGGAAATACCTAACGTGGACAGTATAATAGAAATGCGATTCTGGGTTAACAAAACTGTTTTAATAATCACAAGAATATGTTATTGGCTTAGTTTTTCGTGATACTCGGTATAGCCACTGCAGAAAAGCGATTTCAATAATGATTTACATTAATTCGAGAGGTATTTAAGAAAAATCGTACTCAAATTTTTCGATACCTAGTAAATAATTATCCAAAATAAAAGCTAAAAATTATATGACTTTTAATTAATAGAAAAACACATTCCTGGTAAACTGAAAATGTTAAATTTATTCAGAGAAACATCATGTATTCTTGCTGTCTTATTATCACCCTTGAAAGAGACTGATCCCCTAAAAACCGCTACTACAAAGAGGTGTGTCTGTCTCCACAGACAGGTTATATAAAAATAATGAAAACAAAATTTTCACTTTCACATACTGTATATTTTTAAGTATCAACTTTTAAACTAAGGTAAGTTTGGTTAAATGGTAATTTTTTATTGTGTAAAATTCGCTGTTGCTTCATGTACCATTATTTACGGAACACCCCGTATATTATTATAATTCAATGCTAGTTGAGGCAAGTAACCTATGGAAGAGTAGTTGTTTCCCGCAATATCATAGTTAGGAATCTTATTTGTGAGTTAGATATCATTTGCGAAAAAATAAAAATAATTTGTTTGAATCAGCTTACTACGAAACCTGTGTCTGACATAATTATTTTATCACTGTCGGTAAGCGAAATAGTTAAATAGTCACGTCAGAAAATGTAAATAACGAGATAAACATAAACAATTAGACCAAAACAACCACAAATTCGACATCAAGATTATTTGTTTCAATATTACGAATCATGAATAAACGTAAATTTATAATTCAAAATTCAAAATATCTATTGGATGAAGTCATAACAGTATTAAAGTCGAGCACAAAATATCCAATAATTTTTTTTACTACTATTAGCAATACTAATTAGAAATAATAAAACATTTCATAAATTCGTATTATTTTCTTATTAGGTACAATTTTTTAAATTATTGATTAAAAAAAATTGTTGGATATTTTGTGCTATATTGACTTTTATACTGTTATGACTTCCTCCAATAGATATTTTGAAAGCGTTCAGAGCCGTACTCAGGAAAAATTTTAAATGATAGCTAAAAGCCTTTTTAAGCGATTATAATAGTAATATCATCTAATTCAGAATTAAAAATTACTAGATTTTGTCATAGAAATAGCAGCGACGTATTTAAAAAAATAACCTGATGATGGCCCCTCGAAGACGAAACGTAGGATTGCAAAAATGTTGACGCCATTATTTATAGCAATACTGTACAAAAATAAAGTAGCGGGTCAAACAGAGACACAGTTTTTTTGTATTTCTTTCCGTAGAATTTAATGGTGTAATCAGTTTTTGAATTTTTTTTTAATTTAAACAAATTATTATCAACAATTACTGAAAAATTCAATGTTTCAAGTAATTTTTTATTTTTATTTTTTCATTTTTGAGCATATTTTTGAACTGTGATTACAGATTTTTTTATTTCACCAAAAAGTTTATGTCAAAACGAAAAAAATGATCACCGGCAGAACTCGGTACGATGATTTTTCTAAATAGAATTTTTCTTTGAAGAAAAAGTTTTTCAGACGGGAAAAAATGAATATCTCGGGAACTTCTTGAATTTTTAATCTAAAAAAAATTGCAGTTATTTAAGACACAGAAAGGTATACTTTCACCAAGTTTCGTCAAAATTAAATTATTTTTGTGGAAAAGAGAAATAAAAAACCAATATCAAAAAAAAAAACAGTTTTTCGCATTTTTCTCGGAAATTTTGAGGTTATCTTACAAAGTGACCTCTACAAAAGTTGTAGCTACAACTTTTGTATTGGATACTTTTTTGTTTGACGTCAAATTTCGCCAGAAATCCTAATGATACAATTTTTCACAACTTTTCAACCCCCCAAATCAACCCTCACCCACCCCTGCCACGCATTTTTTTTAGGTTTATTATAAACCCTTTTACAATTTCCACTTATTAAAGTCCAGGTAACAATTTGTTTTTCTCCAAGTGTACTTTGGTTGGACTATATTTTTTTAGCGAGACGTTGTTAGGGACTAATTTTATAAAACTTCTTAGAAACATAGTTTAAAAACACTATACTACCAAATAGGAAGTTTTGTTGCTGCGTGTTTAGCAATATTATTATATTTATGAATAATTTTTATGCAATCTTTCACCTTATTTCATATGATTGACTTAACTTCCTTTTAGTTGTAAACTTATCGTTTCCTTCATAACTAGTATTATCAGCATTATCATACATATATTAGCATATTTTGTGTTTCACTGGAAATTAAATTACGACAGAGTGACGATAATTAAAAGGCCTGTAACCTTAGACAAATGACTTCATATAACAATGAAACTCGATATTTAAATAATGCATAATGTTGGCCCATCTTGACACAAGAAAAGAGATCGTTTTATTAACACCGAAAGACAAAATATTTTGTGTTTTAAAAACAATTCTTGTTGTTGTTTAACCCTTGTGCAATATTTTGTCGAATAGCTGTAGACGTGGCGGCGCGGCGTCGAAATTTCAGTGGAATAATGGCTTGTGTCATACATTATATAACTTTTTATTCAAAATTGCGTAAATGGTTTCTATATAACTATCATTTTCCCAGAAGAGAAAATCTCATCCATTCTGAGAACATACCACTTTTATAAACATGCTAATAAACATGAGATATCTGGCACCTTGTATCGAAAAGCGGCGAGACTGTAAGTAATTTGTAGAAATAATTAATAGTTATCGTATTATCGTAATATTGTTTACTTAAAAGCATCGGTTTAAACAGAGTTGAAATAAAAATAGATCATTTATATCGACGGAAACAATCACTGTCGATTTTATAACATACGTAACAGGGTGTCAAACTTGAACGGATTCGATTTAAGAATTTGCAAAGTTACAAAATTTTTCTAAATATACTTCCTCTCAAATACTGGATATAAAGATTTTGAATATACAGAGTGGTTTTGAATAGAGTAGCACAAACGCTACCAGTGCATCTAGATGAAAAAATAAGGCGAATGAACTAAATATACCTTAGACAAAAGTTGCACTCCTGAGGCATTACAGGGTCTTGAATGTTGCAGAGCCAACCAATATTTCCTTCAATTTATCTTGAACGATGTGGCGTAAATTTATATTTTATACAGACATTTGTCCAGTGCGGACACATACTTTCTATTAGGTAATATTGTTTAAATATATCCACCAGAGGCGTTGCTTTCGACTACATGCAACATATTACTTCAAAGAATTTTTCACCCTGTATGAAAATACATATCTTATTTACATTTTCGGATGTAACAACTAAAAACAAACACTTTTTCTCTCTTACATTTTTTCGATAAACGCGATCGTTTTTTTAGATAATTTACGAAAAAGAAACTTCGGAAATTTTACAGCATTTTACAGCCACCACACCACGGTCTCGTGACCGTGGTGTGGTGGATGGTAGTATGGCGTATAGTGTGCTTTGGAGTTCGACAAGTATCGGTTTATCTGGTTATGGCAATTTATTTATCCGATCATTGAACCAATCGAAACCTAAATTATTATCTCTAAAACAAATCTGTGTTGAAACCACCATGACTGTTTAATAGTTTATTACAATCATATTTAAATTAAAATTTCAGGAAAATATAAAGTGGTGCAACCACTTCAAACGTTAATAATATGCAGGCATTTATTAAGTAAATTGTACACATTAGTAGACCTAATTTCAAATAACATGGCTTTTACCCATAAATTATACTTTAATAAATTACAAAAAAGTTATTATAAAATATTGATTTTCATCTCTTAACTTCAAGGGTTAATATATACTATCAAAAAAAAAAAAATAGATCTGAGACATTATTTTTACAATATCTCTCCTAATTTGCAAGTTCATCATTTGTAGAACACGCTGTGTATCGTCTAATTAATTTCAACACTGTATAGGTATCCTAATTAATTATTTATCAATGATTTATTTTTGCACTCAATATTTAGTTAATTAAAAACCAAGTCTGAGTAAAAAATGGCTCAATAATAGTTAAATTTAAATCATATTAGAGAAAAAGTCAACTCTAAATTGGTTTTATATACTCAGAATAGTCTCAATTGATTGTTAGCAGTATCTCGGATTGAGTAAAACTCACTCATTTCTGATGCAATAGTTGTACTCACACTAATAGAGTGAAAATTTCACTCAATTGGGTGTGGACAGAAATTGATACATTATTGAGTAAAATTGAGTGAAGTTTGAGTGAAATTTTTTTATAGTGCAAAGAACATAAGTTGCACTACCTTCCACTATCAAAATCACCTGAAGAAAACTACACCAAGTGAAAGATTTTTTACGTACATTTTGAAAACTTAAAACTGGCAAAACGTTTTAAATTCAAATGGGACACCCTGTATGTTGTGCACTATACTATAGAAAGTCGATTTTCTCAGATATTGGCGGTTTTAGATTCTCATGAATATTACATAAAAAATATGTGCCTCGAAAGACACATATCGGTACTGTCATTTATATTCTACAAGTATTTATATTACATCCATGGGATCCATGAGTCACAATTATTAGCAGCATTTCTATGAATTGGTTTTTTCCAACATTTGAGTAATTAGACACGAATGAAACTCGGCAAGCTACAAGCAATAGCGTTCTTTGTAGAATATTGAATTTTTTTTCATAATTACATTAATAAAATTCATTGTTCCACGCTTGTTACATCTTTTAAATAATGAGGGAATATATTTACAAAAAATAATAATAATACTTTAGTAACTGCAAGTACAATAAAAAGCAAATAATTATCCTTTTATTAAGAAAACACTTAAATGTAAGGCAACCAAAATTTTAAATTATAAATACTCTTTCTCGCTATTAGCAGTCATTAATTTTTCATGAAATTTTGTGCCGACAATTGAAAGAATACACACTTTCATATAAGGTATTTTTACTTCAATCCTCTTAATTTTCTCTCTACATTTACTGGTACCATTTTTGCTACCTCATTTAAAAACACCCTGTATAAAACCTATTCTACCCTCACTACAGAAATGTTTTTTTTTAAGCTACCATGGTTTTCCGAATTGTTATGCCGTGGTCTATGTACCTGGTCGCCATGAGTTACAGACTCTTTGACCTACATTTGTTGTTCTTGGGCTAGTTTATGTGGGGCATACTCGCTGTCAACTCTTGTTGTTCGTTCTAAGGTTTGCCAACAGCGAAGAGCCGAAATCTATATCAGGGTGGGCGAATAGGCGTTTAATAACGGGTCCGTTCCCATAGAGCTTAGCCCGAGAACAACAAGATTGATCTAAGATAGAAAGCTAAGGTTGAGAAAGAGCAATGTAAGTCTATAACTGACGGCGAATGGGTATCTAGACAATGGTCTTAAAACCACTATTAGCATTTTTTTCCCCAGGTCCTACCCAAGTGGACAATCCTCTACAGGTGTACCTCCAGCGGATGTTGTGTAGAGAAGGACAAGAGATGTTTGCCTTCTGGTATGGACGAATTGAATGTGACATTCAGCAGCGTAACCGAAAGGATAGAATATTTTCAAATACCTGTTACGAATCATACGCAGTGCAGTTGCCTGAGCACGGACAACTCGGGCAAGAGTAACATTAAGTGACGTTTTTCCGCGAGTTCTGTTACTGTGATTTCAAGAGAGGAATGTTTGGAATCGTCGCCGTTGGACTTTACAGGCAAGAGAAGGCAACAGTCAAGGGTTTGTCTTGTTAAAAGTGGAGAATTCCAAGAGTTTCTTTCGGTGATGATGACGTTAACTGTCAAAATGTGTCGTCTGTCAAAATTTCTGGGCTTGAAGTGACTGTGGGTCCTTCCTTATAAAGCTGGACTGATAGAAAATAGTTTTATGCTTACCAAAATAGTCTAGTCACTCCCCAGTTGCTTCTAAGTTTGTCGTTTTACGATATTAAACGATTTGATATATCCATGACTTTTTTTAGTCCCCTTGAAGTTTTGAAAAATGATGACATAAATTCAGGTGAGGTGGAACATCCAAAAATATTTTATGGATATGGATATGGATATGGAAAAAAAATAAATGCATGAGCAGGGACGGCGGAGGGTTTATTTGGGGGGTTGAAAAGTTGTGAAAATTGTATCATTGGGATTTCTGGAGAAAGTTGACGTCAAACAAAAAAGTATCCAATACAAACGTTGTAGATCATACAAAAATCTACAACTTTTTGTAGAAGTCACTTTTTAAGATGCTTTTAAGAGATAAAAATGCGAAAAACAAGTTTTTTTCTGATTTTACGTTTTGTATTTCTCATTTCCGTAAAAATGATTTAATTTTGACGAAACTTGGTGAAAGTATACCTTTCTGTGTCTTAAAAATTTTTTTATATAAAAAAATCAGGAAATTCCCGAGATATTATTTTTTTTTCGGTCTGAAACACTTTTTCTTCAAAGAAAAATTCTACTTACAAAAATCATCGTAGAGTTCTGGCGGTGATAATTTTTTTCGTTTTGACATAAACTTTTTGGTGAAATAAAAAAATCTGTAATCAGAGTTCAAAAACAATCTAAAAAATGCAAAAAAAATGAAAAATGACACAACAATGAATTTTTCAGTAATTGTTGATAGTTTGTTTAAATTTAAATAAAAATCAAAAACTGATTACACCGTTCATTTGTACGGAAAGAATACAAAAAAAAACTGTCTCATTGTTTGACCCAAAACATTATTTTTGTACAGTATTGCTATGAACATTAGTCGGATAGTGAATAAATAAAATAAATAATATTTTTTTCCGTAGGATTGATTAGTGTACTTATTTTTTTTTAATTTTGATGAATTCATATATATACAGTGTCCAAGATAAAGATGGGATATCATTAGGAATATTAGGATCTAGGAAACGGTAAGAGATACGGGGTGGCTCAGATTAGAAAAAAGTTGTGTTTTTTTATACCTAACAATATGTCCTTTAGAAAGTTTTAAAATTCCGGATTGTTCCGGAGATTTCCGGAAAAAAACCCGAAATTTTGCAAAATTGTTTAATTTTTTCTGGCTTTATTTGAAAACGAATTTTAAAATAAATGGAAATATACACTATGCCACTTTTTTCGCAATGGCGTCAACATTTTTGCAATCCAACGTTTCGTCTTCGAGGGGCCATCATCGGGTTAATTTTTTAAATACGTCGCTGCAATTTTTATGACAAAATCTAGTCATTTTTAATTCTGAATTAGATGATATTACTAAATGATTTTAGATTTTGTTATAAAAATAGCAGCGACATATTTAAAAAAATTAATCTGAGGGGCCATCCCCTCGAAGACGAAACGTCGGAATGCAAAAATGTTCACGCCATTGGATAGAGCGAAAAAAGTGGTATATATAATATATAATATGGTATATATGCAATTTATTTTAAAATTCGTTTTCAAATAAAACCAGAAAAAAAACGATTTTGCAAAATTTCGCGTTTTCGGACTTCGCGTCAACAGCAGATCTTGCAGTTGATACTTTGTATCATTTGTGCATTTATAATTCGACTTTGATGTTTATAGCAATACTGTACAAAAATAAAGTTTTGGGTCAAACAATGAGGCACAGATTTTTTTTTATTTTTTTCCGTAGAATTGAATGGTGTAATAAGTTTTTGAATGTCTTTTAATTTAAACAAATTATCAACAATTACTGAAAAATTCATTGTTGCAAGTCATTTTTTATTTTTTTGCATTTTTAGCATGTTTTTGAAAAAGTATGTCAAAACGAAAAAAAATATTACCGGCAGAACTCTGTACGATGATTTTTCTAAATAGAAATTTTCTTTGAAAGAAATTGTTTCAGACCGGAAAAAATGAATACCTCAGAAACTTCTTGATTTTTTTTTATCTAAAAAAATTTGGGGTTATTTAAGACACAGAACGGTATACTTTCAAGTTTCGTTAAAATTAAATTATTTTTTGCGGAAATGAGAAATAAAAAACGAAAAATCAGAAAAAAACTGTTTTTCGCATTTTTCTCGGGAATTTTGAGATTATCTTTTTTGACGTCAAATTTCGCCAGAAAATCCAATGATACAATTTTTCACAACTTTTCAAACCCCCAAATGAACCCTCCACGCCCCTGCTCTAGCATTTATTTTTTTTAGGTTTATTTACCGTTTTACCATTTCCACTTATAAAAGTCCAGGTACCAATTTTTTTTCCGAGTGTAATTTGGTTTGGACTAAATAGTTTTCGAGGGTGCTAAATCGTCAGAGGTGTTAGTTTTCTATTATCTTGTAGAGGTCGCTAGTTTCTAGCTACTAATAAAAAACTATCGAAATTTAGCACCCTCAAAAACTGAATTTACGAGATCTGTTTTCAAAAAATATAAATAATTTGATTTTTGGCGTAAAAGTTTCGAAAAATATCTGTCAAAATTACAAGAACTGAAGAGGGTTTCCGTCTAAAACATCTATCCAACCACTCCTTTTAAAACTGCTACTAATAAACATTTAGAATTTTTTGTCGTTCTTTGTATTTTTCTTAAGTATGAACTTGTTTAAACCGCATGACTCTCTAATTAAGCAGCGACGGCAACATGTGAGAAAATTTATGATTTGGCGTACTCTTTTGGAATTGTTAAACCACAGTTTCCGCCGAAATGGTTTGTCATAGCTATTGGGACACTCGGGTCATATGTCAACGAATAAATTGAAATTGTCAACCAGCGGTTTCATTCGACGCATTGCAGGTATAACTGTTTCAGGAAAATGAGTGAAAAATTTAATACCAAGAACTGCGTACTTTACAACGAAATAATTATGAGTAATATATGATTATTACAACAAAATCTGTAGCTGTTACAGAATATTATTGCACTTAAACTGCGGAGGTCAAAGACATTAACGATTTTCCCAACGGTTTTAGTCACACAAAGAAGTTTTTAAATCCACCGACAATGAATATTTTTTCGACGAATTTATTGTTTTCCACCTCTTTATCTCAGATGGGTTCCAAGACAAAGTTATTGCATCTAATTTGAAATATTGTGTACATTTGTTGTATTTACGTTTTGTGGGTAAAACATAATTTAATTATCATGTGGAATGGACTTTGAACTAGAAACAAAACGTACACAATACTATATTTCTTGTTTGCAGAAACTGTGGAAAGAAAATAAATAATATTCTCATTGGTATCATTTCCGCAATTTTAAAAATACAGTATTATTATTATTATTTTTTTGATTCACACAAATTTTATTCTCTTCATAAAATTTCACTCATGTTTCCAATCCACACCAAGAAGTTTCCCATAAAGTTGCCCAAGCGACCAAGAAAACTCCGGTCGATAATCGATATTGTTACCGATCTTTAAATTTTCTATCTCCGACGATTCAAGATCGTTTCAGGAAAGATAGAAACCACTCCGTTAAAAGAGCGTCCAAATTGTGGACCCATTAAGGAGTGCGATCGAACGTCAGCCCTAAACATATGCAATTCATTAACCAAGACCAAAAAGGACATAGAAAAGGTATAAGGCGGGCGTTTTATAAACAACAAATCACACTTTTAGTAAAATAGTAATAGAACAAATAGAACAAGAAAATAGTCATATTTTCGACAGTATCTAAACTAGATAAATGAAAATCGCAAAAAATCATATTTTGATTTATTAACTTTGGCAAATTCTTCAGGGAACTTATTTTTGATGCAGGCAGATTGCGATCGTCATCTATGCAAAAATTCTGGGTTGTTAACCAACGGGAATAGTCCGTAGCTGGCGTTCTGGGCATAATGAAGTTTCACCTGCGACATCAAAAGCAAGGTGTACGTATGTGTAATCGATCACCAAATTTGCAACGTGCTGAAGTTAATAGTTTAGAGACTGTAAATAAAAAAACTTTTTAATTTTCACCTTTGAGGGCCCGTAACTTGTTAACGAAGGCCCGTATGAAAAAACTTTATATGAAGAACTGATATTATGTTAACCTCATCTGTTTGTACTCGACTTTTTTGTATCTAGTACAGGGACACCCTGTATATGTTTATGTCCTTAACTACAAAGTGCCTCAGCATGTAACTCATATTCCAATTTTAGTACCACATTATCTTTATTAGCTTTTACCTCATTGTATCGTTGTGTGTGGGCTTAGATTACGATACGTACAATTCGCGGTCTTCCGTAAATGATTATTTAAGTCGCTCTTCAATTCACTTCCACTGTAATATCGGGCACTGGACTAGTCAGTTTCATTTAATTCTTTAGACATTGCATCAGCGACTTGCTATCAGTGACAGAATGAATCACACCCTAATGTAATACGGTAGCTCGTAAAAATTAAGTGATGAATATCGAAATTCCTAGTCAGGAGATGAGTCCAAATTTATTCTGTACAATATCGTCATTTCAACAAGTACTTTGTTACCTTTGACGCAAGCACTTGTTTAATACATATTTATATGAATTAGTTTCACGTAAGGATGCTGTTGAGGCAATTAACGCAATTGACGGTGTTACATAGCTACTTTTTCGGACTAGAAAAGAAAGAGTATGGACAATCTTATATCAGTCGAAAGAGCATTCAGTTTTGCATTCATTCATGACAACTAATATGTTTCATTCCGTTTGAAAAAAAAGTTTTTCAACTAGTAAGATTATTAAATGTAGGTCTCAGTATTTCCGAGTCTGAATAAGGTACACGTTTTGCTCACAGATGACAAGATAGAGTAATTTATGCCAAAACTAACAGTGAAAACTGCAGGTTTCTAACTCTTACAGTTTAGACGCTATCTAGACTCATTTAAATTTAGTTTAAGTTTTAAACACCATGTACATTTAATAAACTCTACCTACTATTAACCAAGAAATTCAAAAATTCTATAATATACAGGGTTTTCCATTTAAAATAACAAAGTTATGTAGTGAAATCGAACTTCCTGTAAAGCTAAAAATAAATTCCTTACATGGCCCACAGAAGAATCCCT